CGAGGCCATCTCCCAGGCCGTTGCCCAATGGCTCGCTGACTCCAACTTCGAGGAGGGCGGCTGGCGCATCGAGGGCGACCCAGCCGCGAAGCGCTTCACCATCCGCATCCGTGGCGCCCCCAGCTGGGCATCACGCATGGTGTCCCAAGCGCTTTCCAACGTGCGCCTCGACGACGGCACCTACCGCCGCATGCAGGCAAGAGGCCCGACTGGTCAGCCAGTCGACCTGTGCATCTCTGAGGACAAGAACCTGTTCCAAGTCCGCCGCGAGCTCGCGACCAAGCAGGCCCGCAAAGTCCTCTCCTCCTTCGACCCCAACCTCAAGCCCCATGCCGACAAGTCCACGGGCATCGTCAGCTGCGAGTGGATGCCCCTCCTCCGCATCACCCCCAAGCCGAACGAGATGCCGACCATCGAGTGGGAGGAGGACAACCTCCGCGCCAAGGGCCTCGATCGGGCTACTGTCGAACCGAGGGTTGTCGAGGCTATCTCGGTCAGCTCGAGCACCGCTTCCGCCGCTCCCGCACAGTGGCGTCTTTAACGAGTGGTTCACGAAGACGGGGGGCCCTTCCTCCCCAGAGCTCGGGCTGGCCACTTGGAATGCGAGAGCTCTATTTCGTCACTGCCCAAGAGTGCGGACTGCGACACGGAACTTGTTCCTGAGAATGTTCCGCGGGTTCAGGATCATTGGTCTCCAGGAGGCTCATGGGAGCAGGTTCGACCTCGACGATTTTTTGCATATGTCCTCTACGAAATATTCGGCGGTCTCCACTTTCCTCCCCGTCTCGAACAAGGGCGGCGTCGTCACTCTGTTCCCTCCCCCGTCTTCTTTCCCAGGCTACGGGCCCTCGGTCTTTGCCAAGGAACTGGTTCGTGGTCGTGCACTCCATGCTAAATTATTCCTAGGCCCTGGGGCGCAGTCTGGGTCCGACTCTTATCACTGCATCTCGCACTTCAACATGCATAACCACGACATCAACATACATGACACGCATAGGATCATACGTGGCATCGAGTCGGAGCTTGATTTCGCCTTGTCGGACCCAGAACACTACCTTGTCGTCGTTGTCGGCGACTTTAACCTCTCTCGGGCACCTCCGCGGCCCGAAGTGCCTTCGGAGGGCGGTGCTGCTGGGGATCCTGCTGGGCCAGCGTGGCGGCGACAGCTTCGGTCCCCGTGGCAGCGTCTCTTTGCACGATTCGCCGAATTGGATCCAGAAGAGCACACCCACTACAACGGCTCTCGCCGACGCACATCCGCCATCGACAGGATCTTTATCTCGTGGCCAGGCTGGATCGTCTCGGCCATGCACCTGGTTACAGAAGTTAGGGACCTTCCTGAAACCCTTGAACAGCGCAAAATCAGTGATCACGCCCCCGTCACGGCCATCTTGCGCGCTCGCCCTCCGCCTGACCCCGACGACCAGCCCATCCCGAGGCACGTCTTCGAGCACCCTGACTTCCAGAAATGCGTTGACGAGTTCTGGCCCTCCCTGGACCTCTCAGAGCTCAGCCCCCCTCTGGCCCTCGAGCTTTACAAGGAGGTGCTTCGCGAAGGCGCCCGTTACGTCAGGAACGCTCTGCTCTCCAAGGCCCCCCACAACATAGCCTCCAAGTTGATCCTCCTGAGGTCCATTTCTCGGGCAGTATGGCGTCAAGATCATAAATTAGCTTCGCGTCTTCTTTCTTCGTTGCCCATTAGCTCGTGATCTTTTCGAAGTTCGTGAAGATGATAGGGTGGCTCTGTCTGATCCTGCACGTTTTTCTTTCTTGCTGGACGAGCTCCAGCACGCGGGCGCGGAGAGCCAGCAGAGCTCAGTCCGCGCCGAGATGCGCGCCGCAGCCTCGCTCCCCTCGCCAGGCCAGGTCAAGGCCGAGCTGAGGAAGAGGCTCCAGCGTCTCTCACGGCGAGCAAAATTGTGGGCGCCAATGGACCGCCGCACGACGCTCGCAGGGATCCGACGTGAAAATGATGTGGTTGTGTCCTCTCAGTCCGATATGCAGAATGTGATCTCCTCTCACTGGCGTGACGTCTTCCTGCCCAAAGATATTGACATGCACGCCGCGTCGGTGTGCCTGCAGAGGTTCTGCCCCCACTTGGACATCTCTGATGTTGCCCCGCCCTCGATTAAGGACTTCCAGACCCACCTCTCCCGCCTGCCCCACTCGGCTCCAGGCCCCGACGGCCTCCCGTACAAGGCGTTCCAGAGGTCCCAGCTCGCAGCCCAAATCCTGAATGACATGATGTGGTGGATCCTGAATGGCAACCCCGTCCCCATTGGGTACAACGATCTTCTAGGTGTGTTCATCCCGAAGGCCTCCGAGGACAGTGATACCCCCCAGGGCTGCATCAGAGCTCCGCACAATCTCCGCCCACTTGGGCTCAAGAATTGCGACAACAAAATTGCGACGGCCGTCGTGACTAGAAAGCTCTCGAGGATCCCCCCCCCAAGCCACCAACAAGATCCAGCGAGGCTTCATCCCCACCCGCAACTTCGGCGATAACATTGTCGAGATGGATGCGATGGCCAGGATCTATTCGATGCAGGACGAGGCCCCCGCTCTGATGCCATCTCTGCTCAGCTTTGACTTCCAGCAGGCCTTCCCGAGCGTGGCCCACGATTGGCTATGCTCTGTTCTTGCGCGATGTGGTCTCCCTGAGGCGCTCTGCTGGTTCTTCTCGTAGCTCCTCTTCGGCGTCCGCTGTTTCGCAGCATGTGGCGCCGGCCCTCCCTCCCTCATGTACCTTGTCCAGAGCGGCATCATCCAGGGCTGCCCCGCTTCTGGCCTCCTCTTCGCGGTTGGCGCGGACCCGTTCATGCAGGACTTCGACCGCAGCGTCAACCATCGGCTCCTCGGGGTCGTGCGCGCCTGCGCGGACGACGTGGGCGCCGCTATCAGGACCCCCAGCGTGCTTCGTACCTTCCACAGGATCTTCAAGGCTGCTGAGAGGATTTCGGCAATGACTCTCAAGGCTGCTAAGTGCAAAATCGTTCCTCTTGGTGAGCCTTTTGATGGGGATGCTGTCTTGCGTTATCGTACTTGGTTGTATTCTGTTATTCCAGATGGGAGACAATTCGAGGTCGTTCCATCCCTTGTTTATCTTGGTATGCATATCGGGCCGACGGCTCGTCTTGATAGCTGGGCAGCACCGTTGGCTAAGTACAGGTTGCGTTCGGCACAAATTGCCGCCGTGGGCGGCCCCACCCGAGTGACCGCCAGCAACTACAACATCAGATGCGTGACGACCCTGAGTTACGTCGCGCAGTTCATGCCCCTCCCCGACGGCTTCAGTAGGACTGAGGCCGCCCTTCTCGCACGCCTGTGGCACACTGCCCACTGCGCGCTCCCCATGTCTGGCTGGCTCAATCCTGATCAATGGGGTGGCCCGAAGTTTGATTCTTTGTTCATTTCAACCTCCGCGGCTCTCATCCGAGCCAGTCTCGAAACGTTCCAGAGCTGGAGGACCGTCCTTCCCCTCCTTCGAGCCTCCGCCGAGTCCCACCTGCCCGTGTGCCTCCTCGCCCGCGGCTCCCTGTCCCCTCCCTTCTGGCAACAGGCCTCTTTCGCCGAATTCCTAGAGAATGCCCAAGCTGGTTTTCCCAGACCCGTCGGACACGGCCTCGTCACGTTCTCCCTTGCTTCGCTCGCTCCGATGACCTCCGCTGCTGCTGCTGCGCTCGCGTCTCTCCCTGCCCCTCCCCCTCCGCCCCCGTGTGGCCGCAGGCGGCCTAAGCTCAAGACGCAACGCCACTTCCGCCTGGCCATGCTCGAAAAAATGTTTCCCGACCCTCTTGTCGGTGTTTTTTGCCGCGCGTGTTCCCTCCTGGGCTCCCGTGTCCGAGAATGAAGTTCGAGCGTGGCCATGGGAAGAGATCCGACGGGTCCTCGTCCGAATGCACCCCGCCCAAAGTAATGCGGTTCTCAAGCTACTTGCCCATGGGTGGACTACAGACCACCGATTCCAGGGCGACAGCCCCTGTCTCTTGGGCTGCATTCCCTCGGCTGTCGATCCCAGCCGTGATGCGTTCTCCCACTATTGGTCCTGCCCGCGCTTTCTCGCCATCCTCTGCTCTGTCATCCTGTCATCCGTGCCCCATCGCTGCCAGGCTGCCCTGTCGCTCGCCTCGGCCTCGTTTTCCCGTCCTCCGAGTCTCTCCTTGTCCCCGCCGCCGCCACCCTCCTCTACCACAACATCCATGCCCGCCGTTCTTCCCAGCAGGTAGCCGTTCGCGAATCGGACGCCAAGGCGATGGCCTCGGCGGTCCGCTTTCAACTCTTCAGGTAGGTGGATTGACGCGGCGCGCCGCGGCCACGTGCGAGGAGGAGGAGGAGGAGGCGGAGGAATTGGAGGAATAGGAGGAGGAGGAGGTGGAGGAGGAGGAGGAGGAGCCCCCACCAGCGCCGGAGGTGCAGCTTCTCACGTGGCACGATCCGTGCGAGGGGTGCGTCGAGATGGGCGGGGGGGGGGGGGGGGGGCGTTGCGCGAGCTTTCTCTTCCTCTTGGGGTCCGCAGGCGGAGAGCTCCCTATGGGGCACACAGCAAAGGGCGAGGAGAGAGAGGAGGAGGGAGAGGAGGAGGAGGAGGAGGAGGAGGAGGAGGAGAAGCAGGAGGAGGAGAAGTAGGAGGAGGAGGAGGAGTAGGAGGAGGGGGAGGAGGAGGAGGAGGAGGAGGAGGAGGAGGAGGAGAGGAGAAGGAGGAGGAGGAGGAGGAGGAGGAGGAGGAGGAGGAGAGGAGGAGGAGGAGGAGTTGGGGGAGGAGGAGGAGGAGGAGGAGGAGTAGGAGGAGGAGGAGGAGGAGGAGGAGGAGGAGGAGGAGGAGCATGAGAAGGAGGAGGAGGAGGAGGAGGAGGAGGGGGACGACGACGAGAAGAAGAAGAGGAAGAAGGAGGAGGAGGACGAAGAGGATGACGAGGACAAGGCCAGGATAAGGTGGGCGCGGCGCTACGAATTGTAAACGAGGAATTAACTCCGCGGAATGGTTGGGTCAAGAAATCGAGGCCCTGTTCGACCTGAGCGCTGAGCACATCCACGAAGTGTACCACAGCATGCGGCCGAACGAGGACGGCAACATCTCCGTGAACGACCTGAGCGAGGGCCTCGCCCGATGGAAGGTGCCCCCGATCGACGAGGCCAAGCTGAGGACGGTCCTTTGACGTGTGAGTGGCGCTTGCGCTGCGCAGCCTCGTAATCTGGAGTATCGACCGCGTTGCATGGGCAGCGTGCTGCGCTTCACTTCCCTTTTCCACGCTGTTGCAGTATTGCCGTCGGCTGGTAAACGTTGTCACTGTCGGCCACCTGGGTTGTGGAAAAAGACGGCCCCGGCGGCACCCCCATGCGTAGGGGAAAGTCTGGGAACGTTCCCCATTGCATGGGCGCATTGCTTGGCGTTGCTTGGCGTGGGAATGCAGTGAGGACACAAGCAGCCCAGGAAACGCAGTAAAGGCCAAGCAACCCCGACGTGACCCTTCGCCGGAGTGATCTTTGGTGCGGGCCCACAGGGGTCCCCCGATCTCCGAGCGCGGTGCATGAGTAGCGTCTTGCGCGTTTGTGGTTGGTCCCCCCCGCGGCCCCCCAAAGCCGCGCACTAAAGGTCATTCTTACTCAAGGTCACTCCTGCGTGTACGGTCGGACCGAGGTATACGATCGAGGTCGGTTCGGGGAGGGTACCCTCATGTTCTTCTTGTTTGTTGGATGTTCTTTTGCACCCTGGGGGAGGGTGCCCTCAAATGTTTCTTTCAGTTTGACCGGCGGAGGGCCTCGTGTAGGATGTTCTTCTGTCCTAGGTCCGGCCGTAGCCGGGGGCAGCGCACCAGTGAGGAAATAAGACAAACCAACGGAGGCCAGGAGAAGGAGGCGGAGGAGAGGGAGGAAGGGGAAGCGGAGGAGGAGGAGGAGGAGGAGGAGGAGGAGGAGGAGGAGGAGGAGGAGGAGGAGAGTGGGAGGAGGTGTGAGGAGGCGGAGGAGGAGGAGGAGAAGGAGGAGGAGGAGAAGGAGGAGGAGGAGGAGTTGGACGAGGAGTTGGAGGAGGAGTTGGAGGAAGAGGAGGAGGAGGAGGAGAGGAGTTGGATGAGTTGGAGTTGGAGAAGCGAGGAGGAGGAGGAGTTGGATGACGTTGGAGTTGGAGGAGCGAGGAGGAGGAGGAGGAGGAGGAGGAGGAGGAGGAGGAGGAGGAGGAAGGGGGAGAGGAGGGGGAGGAGGAGGAGGAGGAGGAGCAGGAGGAGGAGGAATATGACAAACCAGCGGATGCCACGGTGAGGAGGCACGACCGGGGAGCGCCGCAGGCAGGAAACGAAACAGAGCAAGGCCCCCAGGGATCGCGGGCGGGCGCAGGTCGCGCACCCACTGGTTCTTCACAAACAGCAGCCTTCCCTAAGCAGGCCAGATCCCAGATCCCCTCGCGTTGTGAACAAGCCAGATCCCAGACCCCCTCGCGCCATGAGCAGATCATGGCGGAAGTTTTGTTCCCCTAGTTTCGGCCTCCGGGGGCCCTTGCCAGGCCTCGGGGCCGTCAAGAAAAAAACGGCTCGGGACGAAAAGCCGGTCCCGGGAGAGAGGTCCAGACCTCGATGTTATGATGAAACCGCAGCCGCCTTGGGGACATAACTGAGGACGATCCTGGGCATCGTCGACGAGAACGACGACGGCCACCTCCAGCTCGTGGAGTTCCAGACGATCCTGAAGAGACTGCTCCTGGCTCGCCTCCTTGCGGACTCCGAGGAGGACTCCCCCCAGACAGCCCGCTCATCGCGCCCGGAGTGCTAGCCCTGGGGAGCGCTGCGGGGGGTCACCATCCACAGAGGGGCCACCACCGCCTGGAAGCCGAGGGTCGACCATGAGGTCCTGGCGCCCTGACTTCGGATCCGCCGTGATGCAGGTATGCGATGTCGCACGTCGGGCGGAGATCCCCTTTTCTACTGTTCAGGCTCCTTGAACGTCCGCTTCCGCTCAACTTTGCCGTCGCTGCTCCCGAAATGGAGTCTCCGCTCTTTTTTTGCTTGCATCGTTAGCAGCGCGAAGGATATGGTTACGATGCATCGTTCGTTAACGATGCATCGCAACCCATGTCTCCGCGTTTTGGTTATACGCGCAACCCTTTCGAGCGTAACCAAATGATTTGGTTGTGCACACTAGGGGTTTGGGATGCAGTCCCGGAACATCAGGCAACGTGCGGCGGATCCGGAGCCGGGGCCCCGGAGGCGCCTCCGCGGCCGGAGCGCTCCGCGCGCGAGGGAGGGGGGGGGGCGCGGCGCAGCTCCGAGAAGCCCGCGCGGGCCTCCAAACGTTCCCAGGCATGCGATGTCTTGGGTCAAGTCGGGCCTGTCCCTCTACGGGGGGAAGTAGTGAAAAAGCTAGTCTGGGGACGAGTTTTTGAATATTTTGTGACCATTTCGGGATACTTTCTGTGGATTTTTTAATTTTTGATCTTCTCGTCCAAATCCCCCCGTAGGGGGACAGGCCCGACCTAAATCTTGAATTTTGTCCATCCTTCGCGATTCCCGGAAGTCCCGACCTTGTCCTTCTCGGGCGTCGAGCAAGGGGGGGGGGCGATAAGGTAAGGGGGAGAGGAGAGGTGCACTTCTCGTACCCTCCAGGGGCCCTGAAGGGGCGCCATGGGACCCAAAAGGGGCACGAAAGGTGCACGTTCCCCCCCCCCCACACACACACTCCCGGACCCCCGACATCATTTTTTTGTTTTCTCATAACGTCGGCCCTCAGAGGTCTCAGCCCATTCCCCTGGACGGGTTTTTCATCCTGGGTCGTTTTGTTGACGCTGCCGAGGCCCAGGAAGGGCCCCCGGAGGCCGAAAATAGCGAAAAACGTCCCGTCATGATTTTTTCATTGCCCGAGGGGGTCTGGGCTTGTCGCCCCCCATTGATTCACCCCCGACGTGCGTCCCGACTCGTTTTGTTGACGGCCCCGGGGCCCGGCGGACCCGAAGTCACAGGGGGGCCACCACCTGCAGAGGGGGCCTGGACGGCGAGGATCGGCCCTGAGGAGGAGGAGGAGGAGGAAGAGGAGGAGGAGGAGGAGGCGGAGGAGGAGGAGGAGGCGGAGGAGGATGAGGAGGAGGTGTGTGGCGAGGGCTCGTGGGCCCAGCGCCGGCCGAGTGGTCCACACAGATCGATCCAGCTATCACAAAAGGCAGCAGAGATCGGACGGGGCTGCGACGAGGATGCATCCGTTCCAGAGCGTTCCCGAAAGCCCTCAGAGCGTTCCGGAAGGCTCTGAGAAGGCCGCGGCGCCCGAGACATCCTCCAGAGCCACTGGATGTCAGAGATTCTCGACTTATTCTCACCTGATTTAATCCTCGTCCTAGCTTCGTCATATTAAGAAATATGGGGTCTAGGGCTCTTGTCTGTCCCCCCCCGCCGCTGCTGCATTGCGCGGCCCAGCTGTGTCTGAGCCGCGGGCGCCGCGGCCGCTTCCCAGCGCAATCTCCCGCGATGCTGCAATATTTCTTCGCAACCTCGGATCGCAGGGGAGGAGGAGGGAGGATCGAGCCTGAGCCGTGGGCGCCGCGGCCGCTTCCCAGTGCAATCTTCCGCGATGCTGTAGTATTTCTTCGCAACCTCGGATCTCAGGGGAGGAGGAGGGAGGACCGCAGACAGGGGGGGGTTTTGCACGCTTCTGGGGAGTCCTGTCGGTCGGACTCGGACATGCCTGTGCTGTGTGCGCGTCGCCTCCGCAGGGGCGCGGTGCGCGCACTGAGACACCCTGCAGCGGAAGGGGCCGTGGCCGGCGTCTTCCGGCCCAAGCGCTCAGGTAGCGACCTGCGGTGAGGCGTGGGTGCTACTCAGAACACCCCGAGCTGTGAAAAACTCACGACGGTAAGTTTGCGCTATTTTCGGCCTCCGAAGGCCCTTGCCAGGCCTCGGGGTCGACAAAGCACGACTCAGGATGAAAGACTTGTCAAGGGGAAGGGGTCCAGACCTCCTGGGGGTTGACGTCATGAAAAAACGCGACGTCGGGGGTCTGGGCATATGTTCGGGCCAGACGACTTCCGCCCCGGCTGGCCGCTCCGGCGCGCTAATAACCCTGAAGCGCCCTCAGTGTATTGTACTCATAGAGAGAATGCCAATTGCCACTCTCCCCAAACAGCTGAAGACTCAGACGAGTTCCGCGAGGACCGAGAGCACCAGAAGCGCCAGCCTTTCAGCGCTCAGCCACCCGGCGAAGCGGAGGCCAGCTCCTGCAGCAGGCGGTGCAGCATCCCGCCGCGGAAGGGCGCAGGGATCCCGAAGCGCGCGGGTGCCCTCCTCCCTCCGGCCCTCTGCGGCCGCCTCTCCCCCCGCGCGCCCCCTCCTCGCAATCGGGTCCACGAGCCCGTCGCGTGCCCCCGGCTGATGGGCCAATTCTCCACCGCCACCACCATAGGTTGGAGGGGGAAGGAGGTGGAGGAGGAGTAGAGAGGAGGAGGAGGAGGAGGAGGAGGAGGAGGAGGAGGAGGAGGAGGAGAAGGAGGAGGAGGAGGAGGAGGAGGAGGAGGAGGATCCCCTCTCCCTCCAACTTATGGTGGTGGTGGTGGTGGAGGAGGAGGAGGACCCCCTCCCCCATCCAAAGCAGGCCCATCACCGACACTTCTCGAGCGCCCGTGCGGATCGCCTCCGCCATGCCGCGGCGTCAAGAAGTGCGGGTCGGGCGTGCGCCTCCAACGGTCAGCGGGCGAAGAACGGTATGGCATGAACTTTTCCTCCGTCGGGGGCGCCTGCCCCCCAGGCGGCTGGAAAGCTGATACCCCGACGTGGCACCGCAGAGGTATGAGCTTGTACCCGCCCGGGAGGCACGCGTCCCCGACGGCGGAACTGCTTATGTTGCACCGTTCTATGTCCCCCAGAACAGAAGCGCGTAGTACTAGCATGTCCTTCGGCCCCCCCCTCCTGGTTGGTGGTGGTGGGGGGGGGACCAGGGGGGCCTTGCTTGCTGGAGGAGGTGGCTGGCCTCAGTTGCGACCTCCCCAGTGGCTTGCAATTTGTTGTTTTTTTCTACTAATTCGCTGGCTGCAGTGAAAGACTGCTTCACGGTGGACGCTGTAAAAAAGTTGCGACCTCCCCCGTGGCTCTGCCCGGTATCTGGCGGTCGTGGACTACAACTCGCACTACGGCCCCGAGCGGCAGGAGGTGTACACGGGCCGCGAGATGAGGGAGTTTTTCTTCTGCCATAGGAAGGTGCCGCCGATGCCGCCGGAGGCGAGGCACAATCGGAGGGCGGAGGAGCCGCTCATCCGCTGGATGCACATGGACATCAGAGACACGGATATCGAAGAGGGACAAAAGGCGGCGGCATAAGCACACTTTCCTGGAGCTCCGCGCAGATTTCTCGGATCCGGTCTGGGCCCCGAGGCGGCGCCTCCAGCGCCGCCCCTGGCGCGCTCCGCGCGCGCCAGGGAGGGGTGGTTCCAGCGCGGATCCGAGAAATCCGCGCGGACCTCCAACAGGTGGTCGTTTTTTTATTTGTTGTTTTGCCGATCGTCGCGGGCCCTCGCACCCTCCTCTCCCCCCTCCTGGAGTAGATCTAGGCGATTGTTTCGAGCAGGTGGAGCCTCCCTGATAATGGACGCATTGCTGCAAACAGTCGCACTAATCAGAGGTCCGGAGCCAGATCCCCCCCCCTCCCCCCCCCCTTTCCTCCCAATACCTTTGAAGCGCCGAATGAAACAAAACGCTCACCAGTTTATGCTTGGGCCACTTTGCTGCTCCTCCAGGATACCCTCAGGGACACGCGCCTGGACATGAGTAGCACGGGCATCGCGTCCGCTGGGTGCGCGTGGACGTCCAACGGCAGGTGGCTGCTGGGGCTGGCGATCAAGTACGGGCTCCACCCGCTGGCTGTCGAGGACGTGCTCGACCGGAGCCCGACCAAGTTCGACCGCTTCGGGCAGCACTTCTTCATAACCCTGGAGAAGCTCTTCCTCGCCTCTGCCGACCAGAAGGTCAGGCTGCAACTCCAGAGGGGGAGGGAACTTCAGCCTCGGCGCGGGTCCATCCGTGGCCGAAGACGGGCCCGATGACAGCCTGATCCTGCCAAATCTGGCCAGATCACCCCAACCCGGCTCGATGCAGCTTATTCTACACGCTTCGCGTAACCCCACCAGCCTATTCAGAAACGATGCCCAGACAAGGTGCCATGATCCGTGATGTGGAGGAGCATGCAGTGAACTAGAAGGTTGAGTAAGACGTCATTCCCAAGAGGACATCCGAGGAGGATGGAGGATGAATCGGAGGAGGAGCACGAGGAGGAGGAGGAGGAGGAGGAGGAGGCGCACGAGGAGGAGGAGGAGGATTAGGAGGAGGAGGAGGAGGACGAGGACGAGGACGAGGAGGAGGAGGAGGAGGAGGAGGAGGAGGAGGAGGAGGAGGAGGGGTAGGAGGAGGAGAGGGAGGACGAGGAGGAGGAGGAGGAGGAGGAGGAGGAGGAGGAGGAGGAGAGGGATGAGGAGGGGGAGAGGGGATGGAGGAAGGGGGAGGAGGAATGAGGAGGAGGAGGAGGAGGCAGAGGAGGAGGCGGAGGAGTAGCAGGAGGAGGAGGAGGAGGAGGAGGAGGAGGAGGAGGAAGATACGGAGGAAGAGGTGAGCAGGAGGAGGAGGAGGAGGAGGAGGAGGAGGAGGAGGAGAAGCAGGCGGAGCAGAGGAGGACGAGGAGGAGGAGGAGGAGGAGGAGAAGGAGGAGGAGGAGGAGGAGGGCCAGCAGAAAGGCCAGAGGCATCTTGGATGCCTCTCGGAGTCTCTTCGGATGTTTTTCGAGAGCTTCCTGGAGGCCTCTTGGGGCTAGGGGTCTCTTGGCAGGCCCGGGGACCTCTTGATGCGTCTTGGGTGCTTCTAGGGGGCCTCTTGGGGCCTCTCGTGGCCTCTTGGGAGCATCTCGGGGGGGATCTTGGGGTTCTCTTCGGGGCCTCTTGGGGTCTCCTGGGCACCTCTTGGAGCCGTCTTGGGGCACCCTGGGGAGCCTCGGGGGCCATCTTGGGGCCATCTTGGGGGTGATCGATCAAAGAAGGCGGGTGGGGAATTGGGATCCCCCCAAGGAAGCCAAACTGTATCAACGTGTGGCCATGACCGTAGTAAAATCATGAGTTTGGCCTTCTCGCCGAGGCCTCTTAGGCCCTTTGGGCCATCTTGGAGGAGGTCGGTCAAAGGAGGGGAGCTCTCTAATTCGGGCCCCCCTCCAGGAGGCCAAAATGTGGCCAAAGCCGTCGTACAAGCAATGAGTTTGGCCTTCTCGCCGAGGCCTCTTGGGCCTTTTGGGCCAGCTTGGAGGAGATCGGTCAAAGGAGGGCAGCTCTCTAATTCGGGCCCCCTCCAGGAGGCCAAAATGTAGCCAAAGCCCTCGTACAATCAATGGTTTTGGCATTCTCGCCGAGGCCATCTAGGACGCTCCAACGTGTCGCGGAGCCCCCCTCCAGACCCAGGGGGAGGGGGTAGCGGAAGGGGTCAAGACATCCTCTTAGATAACAAGCCGTCTAGCTCACTCCAACCCGCCCAACCCGCCCTCCCAAGACATAAGTAACACCCAAGTCTCAGCATGTTCAGTTGTCGGCTTTGGATGGTCAGCTACTGGGAACTAACACCGACTCCACGTGCGCGACGCTGGGTCGAGGTGCGCCACGCGTGCCAGGCGCGCCACGCGCGCCAGGCACCCCTGGGGCCCGAGCGTGCCAGGCACGCCTGGTGCGCCAGATGCGCTACGTGCTCCACGTGCGCCAGGTCGCCAGCTGTGCCGCATACTCAAGCCGCGCCATTTGCACCACGTTCGGGGCACATGCAGAGTGTGTCAGGTGCGCTTGCGCACAGCACACATCTGGAAACATGTCGGCCCCCACCATCCTTGTCGAAAACTAATGCCCATCATGGTGTCTGGTGGGCCTGCACACAGCAGGCCAGCAGGCCATGCGCCACCACCACTGCCGTCCCTGTCAAAAACCACTTGGCAGTGATCGCGGGGGGGCCGCGCATTGTCCAGATTTAGCCGCGAGGTGCATCTTGTATTGTTGTTTGACAGAGATGGTTGACCTGCGCGCAGAAGACAATATGCTGACACCCCCGCCGTCCCTGTCAAAAAACAATGCAAAGTGCCCGCGGGCCTCACGAACATGACTCAAGACTTTGCCCCAAGGTGTATTTTGTATTGCTTTTTGAAAGAGATGGTGGGGTGGACCCGCACCTGCTTTGTTGCGCAGGCTCCGAATTTGAAGGCAGAGTGTGTGTTTGCATTGCTTTTGACCGGGATGGCGGGGGTGTGGGGATCATAGGGTCGGCATTGTTCCTGGTTGGCTGCTGATCGCCTGGGGGAGGGGTGTGTATTAATAGGGAACAGTGATAAACCCTTCCCCGAAGGGGGAGAGGAAGATGGAAGAGGAAACTCTCCAAACCGCTTACGCCCAGAGGGCAGGTGGGATTTTGCGGCCTACTCTGATTTGATGGCTTTCGGTTCGGGCTTGCTGGTCCCTCAATCGTTCCCGCGAAGACCTCCCAGGGCCCATCTCGATCCGATCGATCCAGTTCAATGTCGACTTCGGCTGGCCCGACCCGATTCGGTTCTGATGTTCAAGCGATCCGATGCGGCCCGATGTTCTCATGGTGCTGCTGTGCACCCTGACGCTGCCGATCCGATTTGGTTTCAGCTCCGTGCCGATGCAGCCTGATCCGTCGCACGTTTCGATTCGAGCCGACTTTCCGATATCTTGACCCCCGACGTCAGCATATGTTCAAATCTTCCTCCTCCTCCTCCTCCTCCTCCTTCTCCTCCTCCTCCTCCATGGGTCTCGACCCATTCCCTGGGACTGGTTTTTCATCCTGCGTCGTTTTTTCACGGCCCCGGAGCTTGGCGAGGGCTCCCAGGGGCCTAACAGAGCAGAAGACTTCCCGTCGTGATTGTTCCAGCACGCGAGGCTCCGCTTTGATCCGGCTCCGACTTCCCGATCCGGTGCTGACCGATCCTGGAGTCGGCGGCGCGCCCGGGTGGGGGAAGCGAGAAGGAGGAGGCCTTCGCAGAAGGAGGAGTGGCTTCTCGGAAGCCCTCGCGCCTTCTGAGAGGCTTTCTCTGCCTCTGGGGAAGGCTCAGAAACTTTTCAGAAGGCCCGAGGCCTTGCCTTCTGAGAAGGCCCGCCCGTAGTGGGTCCCGGAAACGGCAGTGCCGTCTTTTCACCGTTTTCGAACAAGCGTCTCTAGCAGCGGAAGCGGTGGACGAAAAAGGCAACCGGAAACGGCAACAAAAGCACTGCAGGGTTTGGAAGCCGAGCTGGCACCGAAAAAAAAACGGCGACGGAACTGGCAAAAAAAGGCGGCGTGGGAACCGGCGAAGCAGCGGCAAAACAAACGGAACCAGTAGTAGTCGTTTTTTTATTCGTTGGTTTGCCTCGCACCCTCCCTTCCCCCCCTGGAGCCGGAACCGACAAAAAAAGGCGACGGAACTGGCAAACAGAAAAAGCGGCGTTGGAACGGGCACAGCAGCGGCAAAGCAGACGGGGTCGCTAGCAACGCGGCCCTGCCGCTTCTATGCAAGGGCCCGCCCCCTCTCGCGTCCCCTCCTGCGCTCGCCGCCTGCGGTTAGGTCGGCCATGTCCTCCTGCAGGGGGATTCTGGACGAAAAATATTCAATAGTCAAAAGATGCCCCCAAATAGTCAAAAGAAGCGTCCAAGAATCGCCCCCAGACTATACTTTTAGAATTTCTGGATATTTCCTCCTGTAGAGGGACAGGCCCGATTCCAAGCCCACGGGGAGGGGAGCCAGCTCCGGGGCAAGCCCGTCGCCCTCGGCGCCTCGCACCTGGCGATCTTCTGCGCCGGGCCGCCGCACTACGACACCCTCATCCCAGATGCTCGCCTGGGGGGCGCTTGTCGGGGGGCAGGCCTAGAGGTCGACACCAACACCAAGATCGGCGGTGTGCCTCCACCGAGGGAAGACGATCCCGATCTTGGTGATGGTGGTAATATTCTGGCTTCCAAGGTGACCGAAATATTACCACCAACACCGAAATCGAGGATCATCTTTCCCATGTGGAGGCAACCCCCTGTGCTAGTGTTGGTGCCGATTTCCAGGCTTCCAACGATAGGGGGGATAGGCATACAGGGGGGGATGCATCGACCCCCAATCGCCCATTGATCGCCGATCGGGGCCCGATGGCCCCAACCTGCCCAGCAAGGTGCGGATTCACCATCGGAGGTCTATCGCCGACCTAGCGGCGACGTGTCGCCGATTCCAGGTCGATGCACCCCCCCTATGCCAGTCCCCCCCCCCCTATCGTTGCCCCTCATCTTGCTCGGCTCTACGTAACCGAACAATGAAGCCAGACCCCCTCGCGCTGTGGAAACGGATGTATACTGGGACATCGGCGTCGTCGTCGTCGTCCGTCCTCCGTCCTCCGTCCTCCGTCCTCCGTCCTCCGTCCTCCGTCGTCGTCGTCGTCGTCGTCGTCGTCGTCGTCGTCGTCGTCGTCGTCGTCGTCGTCATCGTCGTCGTCGTCGTCGTCGTCGTCGTCGTCGTCGTCGTCGTCACCGACGTCGTCGTCGTTGTCCACGACGTCGGGTTCCGTCTGTCGGCGCTATTTTCGGCTTCCAGGGGCCCTTGCCGGGCCTCGGGACCGTCCAAGGATGAGCCAGTCCTGGAGAAGGGGTCCACAGGCCTCTGGGGGCCGACGTTGTGGAAGAAACACGACGACGGGGGTCTGGGAAGTCGGGTGTTGCTAGGAGAGCCCCCAGGAGGTCCTCGCGGCTTCCAGAGCACCCCATCACGAGGCCCAGCGGGCCTCAGGGGCTCCAAGGTGGACCGAAAAGCTGGGGGCGCCTTGGGCCTGGGGCACCTTCAGCAATACCCGACGGAGGAAAACGGGTTCGTCTTCATCGACATTCTGGCGTAGATTGCCCGCGTAAGGTCGCGCGTAAGCGCCGCTTTTCCAATGTGGCGTGCCGCGCTGGCGGCCCGCCACCGCGTAAGGTCGCTGTGTCACCTCGCGTAAGGCCCGTTTCTTTTCGTCGCTCAGTTGGGTGAAGGAGAAGCGACGACACCACCACCACCACCACCAGGGGGGCTACCTCCAGCGAGGAGGTTCACGATGCCTCCCCGAGCTGGGGATCGGAGATCTCTCGAGCGCAAGGGGGGACCACAATATTAGGGGATCCCCCATGCTTCCTCCTGATGGTGGTCCCTTGTGGTGGTGGTGTCGCTCTTTTTGTTCCTGTTCTTGTTCGGCCCGGGTTGTCTCGACTCTAGCTCGACGCTGGATTTTATAGTTCGAGTCCAGCTCGACTCTAGTTCGACTCTGGCTCAGCTCCAGTTCGATTGTACTTCGACTCCAGCTGTCTTCTAGCTCGGGGCCTACCTGACGGATATGTTCGGCTCTAGTTCGATCCCAGACCCCCGACGTCGTGACTTTTTCAAAACGTCGACCCCCAGAGGTGTTGACCCCTTCCCCAGGATTGTTCTTTCATCCTGAGTCGTTGTTTTACGATCTCGAGGCCCGGTAAGGGCCCCCACAGGCCATAAATAAGGAAAACCCTCCCGTCGTGTTTTTTTCACCGCGCGTGGGTTTGGGACTTTAGCACGAGGCATGTTCGACTTGACGTTCGACTCCAGTCGCCCGATGCTCAACGCAGCATCAGCGCACGAGGGAGGAGCGAGCAGCTTCTCAGGAGGGTCCCCCCCAGAACGAGCATCTGACGCATCACCGTGTCGCAGACCGACGGGCCCGCGGAGGCCCGGGGGAAGGCCGACCGGTGGATCGGAGAGGCGAGCGGACGACCCAGACTTCCTCGCGCTGTGCGACAAAATCACGACGAGAGGCTCTTCGCTGGTTTCGCCCTCCGGGGGCCCTTGCCGGGCCTCAGGATGAAGAACCGGCTCCCGGCCCTTCTGAAAGGAGCCCATCCGGCGAAAAGAGAGTCCACCCGGCGACGCGACCTACGAGTTGCAACGTTTTCTACACATTTTGGCTCACGCCGATTAGATCGCCCGTCCGGCGCTTGCGCGGAGATTCGCCGAACGCAGTTCCTTTCGGCGCCGAACGGGCTCTTTTCGGAAGGGCTGGGTTCCGGGGAGGGGGTCCGGACCTCAAACAAAAATATTTCGGCGTCGGGGGCCCGGGGAGGGCCAGTCGAGGTAACTGCTGGCCCTCCCCGTGGAGGCTCGGGTGTTGCAAAATTTCTCTTCGCGCCTGACGTTTTCTTCGCCCGGCGTGGGGCCCCAGAGGACCAGCACAGATCCATCCTGGCCGAAGAACAGCGCACGAAGTTGGGGGTCCAGGGGTCGTGATGCCGTAATCGTGTCGCGACGTCGGATGCCGCAATTTTTTGCGGATCTTCCCGCGTCTGGCCATGGGTTTCATGGTGCTGCAATCGTTTTGCCATGTCGGATCTTGTGGCATTTGTGGGCGTCTTGGAGGCTTCTCGCCGCCACGGCTTGACCCGCCTCGAGAAACGAATCAGGGTGGACTCTGGGAGGGGTCCGGGGACGAGAGAGGTTCGAAGGGGCAAAACTTCACCGCCCACCAAACCACCCCAACCTAACCCGAAGGCCCCGATTTGCCCTCCTATTTCCAGGGGGGGGGGGTCGGGCCGCACCCTCCGCAACCCGAAATTCGGGTCTTCGGGTTGGAGTGGGATGGTCTGGAAGGTAGTCAAAACTGCATAAACTCAAGGTCCGCACGCATTTCTTGGATCTGCGCTGGGTCCACACTGGCAGCGCCTCCAGCGCCGCCCCTGGCGCGCTTCGCGCGCCAGGGGGGGGTCCAGCGCAGTCCAAGACGTTCACGCGGACCTTCGAAAGTTCATGCTGCTGTATTTTATTCCTCTTCCTAGAGGTGAACGGCATGATCTCCAGCACTCACTCTCGTGTCCGCGAGCGCGGGTGTAACTTCCTGCTGTACAAGATCCTAGACGAGTACGCGGACGACCTGCTGAATAACGTCGTGAACGCCTACGTGGTCAGGCTCCAGGAGCTGGAGAAGCGGTGCACGAAGATCACCACGGAGCTCGAGCGGCGCGTCTTGTGGGACGAGGTGCAGGACAGGGCTCCTCTAAAACGGTGCTTGGGGGAATCTCGTGGGTCGTCTTCGTCTTCACCTCGTTTTGCATCACAGGGTGAACGAAGCGGCCCTGAGATCCGACGTTGCGACAAAAGCTGCAACATGGCTGAAAATCACGGCCGGAGCCCCGGACCCCATTTTCCTGCGGCATGTGTCGAGCCGGGTCGACCTGTGATGGCCCCAGGGCCGGAAACCGGGCGCCAACGCACGTCGTGAAAACATTGCAAAGCTTGGACCTGAGAGGAGGACGAGGAGCAGCGATCACAATCCTCCCTCCTCCTCCTCCTCCTCCTAATCCTCCTCCTCCTCCTCCTCCTCCTCCTCCCCCTCCTCCTCCTCCTCCTCCCCCTCCTCCTCCTCCTCCTCCTCCTCCTCCTCCTCGTCCTCCTCCTCCTCCTCCTCCTCCTCGTTTTTCTCCTTCTCCTCCTCCACAGTCGCAGGTGACGTTCGCTCCTCCTCCACAGTCTAGGTCGAGCCCTCCGGCAGGAGTCGAAGCAGGAGCTCGCCAGGGTCGAGCGGCGCATCCGGGGCCTGCAGCGCGTGGTCCGCAGGATTGCCGACGACCCGGACCTCGTCGTGGGGCTGACCGGGTACATGGACGACGTTCAG